CTCTTTCTCTCTCTCTTTCTCTCTCTCTCTCTCTCTCTCACACACACACACTCATACACACACACACACACACACACACAGGGTCAAACAGCTCCCAAAGAAACAGCTAGATCTAGGTGAGTTGGCTGTTCTCTTGTTCTCACGATTTAGTGTGTCACCAAAAAAAAAAAGAAAATGTCCAGTTACCAAAGACGCTCAAGCTTTGAAAGTCACCATGATATAATTATGTAAGGCAGACATTTTCTCGATAATTTTACCTCTCACACCAGGCAACCCCCACCTCCTTCAATCGCAAATGTCTCGTCTTCTATTCAAGACAGAGGGGGTAGTTATTTTCCACCACATGCAAGACAAATAAACAAGCTTTAAGACGATATAGATAACTGTATATGCCAAAAAAATTGAAGAACGCCTGATTTCACTGCGTCGTGGCACATTTGGTCACTTTTAAGCACAAGGGAGCTATCCCCAAAAAAATGCTGTTTTGAGAAAATCGAAGGTAAAAGTTTCTTCCCCTTGTTCCGTTTCTTTAAAAGACAAGAGAGAGTTTTCTCTATAACCAAACAAATATACACACCAAGGAAACCAAACTTTAAAAGACAAGAGAGAGTTTTCTCTATAACCAAACAAATATACACACCAAAGACACCAAACTTCTCCTATAGGTAGGGCAATGCCCACTTTTTTGTGGGTCAAGATTTGAGGAGTCCACACAAAAATGGGCATAGTCACAAAATGGAAATTGTGGACTTCATATTTGTTTGATAGGTGGTTTATTTTATATGTTTGTTGGAAGGGAAATCTAACTACAATAATCAACCAACAGCTGAACAGAAATACAGTTATGAGTCAACAAGTGTTCAAAATTGATACCCTCGCGATTTTCAGTTTGTGACTATACCCATTTTTTCAGTGGACTCCTTATTTCTGGAAGCCCCCGAAATCTGGGTTAGCTCGCTTGTCCTTAAAAGCGACCATTTGATTGTGTTCTCCCATCAGCTCCAACTCGTGCATGGATGCAGATATGATGGGGGATAGCTGTGACGAATGTGATGAGGATCTGTACGGGATGAGAAGAGGTTCGGAGTATGATGATGAGGGGGAGGAAGAGAGGAGAGATGGAAGGAGGCGCACAAAGGAGTTCTCGAGCACCGAGCAAGATATCTCAGGACAGGAGAAGACAGAGGGCAGCACATCTGCAGGAGAAGAAGAGGACGATGATAGAGTGAAGGAGGAGGAGGAAGATGAAGAAGAAACAGGCGCAGAGGAAGAGAGGAAGGCTTCCACTGCAGGTACGTACGCTCGTTGCAGAAAGAAGGCCAAGCTGTTGTTGTTGTTGTTGTTGTTGTTGTTGTTGTATATGTTGTTGTTGTTGTTGTTGTTGTTGTTGTTGTTGTTGTAGATGTTGTTGTTGTTATATTATTGTTGTTGTTGTTGTTGTTGTTGTTGTTGTTGTTGTTCTTCTTCTTCTTCTTCTTCTTCTTCTTCTTCTTCTTCTTCTTCTTCTTCTT